GAGCCTGATATGAAGCTTCTATAACTATGGATGACAATAATATCGTGGTAATTACTATTAGCCGGCATATCCATTATTGCAGGAAATATTTCACCTAAGTGCAGCTTCATTGCCTGTTTTCATACGTGTTAGGACGAAATGGAGTTCACTTCAATGAATTCTCTCCTCAACGAGCGCTATTTAGTCACTTAGTTATCTATTTTTTGTTTGCATGACACAACCACACATATTATATGCACCCTAGCATTTTCTTCATCCAGTCATTTACCTTCTATCCACATTTACGAAAATGTTTGGTTTCATAAGCTCGTTGGGCGATTACATGAGGGCTTTGCTATCTTCATGAATATCTTTAAATTTTCCCTTTCGAGCTGATTCCTCTAGAACACTGAGGTATCGCTGTAACAGAAACGTTTTCACCATAGGGTGGTCACTGGGCTTTCACAATTGAGGACAGGCTTCCTTAAAATAAGGTTGTTACGGACTCGCGGAACCAGAAGAGATGGGGACTTGCCTAACCCAGTCAGAGTAGTGCCCGCTATATAGCGTGTGTATCTTACGGCTTCTCTAACTGTTGCGCTTCTTACGCTATGTCCTCAACTAGTGGTTAAAATTTTGATAGAATAATAATAGCGGTTGTCACTATTCCTAAAAATGCTTTCATCTCTCCTTCACCATTGTTGTTCGTTTTACCAAAAATGTTATGCAAGAGATCTTACACTAAGACGCGATTAGATTCCTTGTGATTCTACGGATAAATCCGCTCGCTTAGAATTAAAAATGATCATTGCTTGAGATTTACCTCTAATGAGTGCAAAGAGAGCTAAACTTTGACAAAATTATTGTAATTTAGAATTGTGCCACTTTCTTAGCAGTGTGTAGTATAACTTTACCACTCTTTCAACAAAAGGGTAAAACGATAAAGCTCATGGGGTTGATCAATCCTTGAGAGGTGCGCTATTCATTCAACTTCATCGTTAGGGATGATTGAATGCATATCTGGCTTATACAACGACTCACGGTTGCCTACGATGTGTCGAGTCAGTGCTGCTAACCTCTTTGACAGTTCTTGTAGGAATCTGCTGACACCGGAGGGTTAAAAGCTTAGTGAGTATGGGGCACAGGATCGACCCCATATGTGTTGCAGGATATTGCAGTCGCTAGTCAAAAATAGGCCTTCGAGTCAGTTTTTGGCACGGAATAATCACTAGCTTTTAGCAGAATGGTCGACTCCGTGAGATAAATGCCACGCGAGGCTTTTCGTAGTTGTCACGCGGCAATACCTCAAACTTGGGTAATTAAACCGTTTATATATATAAATACAATATCAATACAACACTAATATCGTCGGAGAACTACTAGCACACAAATAAGGCAAGTTCAAGCTATGAGGTGCTGTACCTACTACTAAAGTGAGGCCTATGAAGGCATAAGAGTACTGTAAATAATACTATTACAACATTAGTACTATGATAACAGCAACCTTATAACAATAGCAAGTAAGGGGACACGAACTATGGCGCATGCACTGGCACGTACAGTGGCCCAGATGCCGAGGGCTAGAACAACAGAAGAGTGAGATGCAGACGAGCCCTTCATTAGACTAAGCTAGAGATCATATGTACAGCGGCTGTGTGCACTTGCACATTAATCGATGAGGATAGCAAGTTACCTAAGCATCGATGGTGGAAGTGACTACGAACGAGAGGAGACATCTGCGAAACACGGTCAGGCGGCTGCTCTTGGATAACGATATGTCTGCAACGTGAAGTTTGAGCATCGATGGGTGCCACCATTGCCTAAGATATCATGAGCCAAAAAGATAACGACTGAGAAATGATAAGCCTATGGCGGCTTAACAAATACACAACATAAGTTGGCCGGCCAGCTGTCTTGTACGCATGGTGTGTAGTGTGGGAGGAATGGTATATGCCACCGATGACGTTGCAGACAGAACGCATTTGAAGCCGCAACCGACAACGCACCGCAAATCAATTGACAAATAATGAACATTGACACGAGGATGAGGATCAAGGTGATGATGAGGATACACTGGGCTGATGGAAAGCATGACGTAGTGACGGTGATGCTAAACTAATGTCCAATTCGCAACTGTCATTTAACAACGATATGATGAAGTTAACGTACAATAATGACTACGTGCTGTATGATTTAGCAACTACGATAACCTACATTGGTGACACACAAGATCAGTACTGTACGGATCTAAAGAGCGGGCGAACCCTGATAAGGGTGAAAACCGGATAGTCGACGAACCTGGATAACAATTAACGGGGCAATTTATATGCTTTTGGAAAAGGCGGTATTTGGCACAGGTCCAGCATCTTTACCGAAAACATTCGTCGGCTACCGTCTCCACATCCTCTCAAAACCACATATCATCTGGCGAAAGACTGCTCTCGCAAACATCCTCATGCTCTTCTTGTTATTGTACGCGCGATGACTTTTGGACAGTAATAACAAGCAATGAGTTCAGATTGCAAAAATAGGTTTGCATAACAAGTGTGCTTACAGCGATCGAAGTTGCTAAGGACGGGATCGAAATATTTACGCACTACTACATTTGCTAGGCAACTTGAGAAACAGTGGATATGATCCTTAATACTGAAACATACAGTAGTAGAAAGATACAAATATATATATATATATATATATATATATATAGGAAGAAATAGGAACTATTCTGGGAATAGTTGCTATACAGGGCACCTATAGCCACTGTGTCACATGCGCCACTTTAACTCTTTTATAAGAATGAAAAATCTTTATAAAATAAGAATAATTGGCAAGGTTAAAGAATAGTAAACTAAAAAGTACGGCGATCTTTATCAGTTGAGGCATCACTGGTGATCAAAATTCTCGTGTAGACACCATCGAAAACTCAACTGGTCCCTGTTGCGGACAAAGATGTCTATAGTATTATACTATGTATACTCACTGCAGACATAAGTCCCTTTATTTCTACTTTTCAGTGAGAGGTTACCCACGGCTAGCTCGCTCCTGTGCGCTGTAGAGATGAATGTCGGCTTTGTTGGAACTACCACCTGTCACAGTCATCTATCACTTTATTACATGCTTCCACCATTATCGACCGGAAGATATTTTATATTTCAAAGGAATGTAAGACAATGAGAAAGAAAAAGCGTGAAATAAAAATAGAGCTAAGTTACATTGCAGATACATTAAGGATTAAGCATTAAGCTCTCGCCGTTGATCAATCCCTGAGGGATGCACCATGCATTCGACTTCATTAAGAATCGTTTGGAGGTGACTAAATGCATATAACTTTACAATGACTCGCGATGAGCTAGCGATGTATCGACACAGTGCTGTTGTCCCCCCAGACATGTCTGGTGCCATTTTTCCGACTGTGGATGGATAGTAGGCTTGGTGAACCATGGGCGCGGGGATCGATTCCACGTGTGACTTGCAGGGCACCTCCGACCACTGCACCCACATTCTTCCAAAAAGTCCTGTCAAATTTTATTACTGAAGCACATCAGTGTATCGTTTTCCAGAGCTTCTCAAAACCACCATATGATGGAGCAGTTTATTAACAAGTTGAAAACGGAAACGAAAACTCATTAATGAACACGGGAAACATTGCACAATGGCAAAACCTGACACTACACGAACGACATCACGACAATAAATATCAGTTTGATGTAAATTATTATATTTCATTGTTGTAAAAGAAGCGGACGGAAGGGTATCACTTCCTGAAATTTTCTGTGAAACGAAAGAACATGGAACCAATTGAATACATAGGAAATATACGATCGCACCAAACAACGGAATGTAACAATGATGTTCAGAGAAAGCACAAATCTACACGTGTCGAATGTTGAGGAGAAGGAGCGAAACATTTCTGAAAAGGCGGATTTCAGCTCAAACAAGAATATCTCGCTTTTCTTCTTTCTTTTTTTCTTTTTTAGTTGTTTTTTCTCTAATCACAAGTACTACGATGATTAAAATTCGGAACGCTGTCTAGTAGCACAATGAAGACCATTGGATTTGGTTGTGCACTGAATATTAGGAAATAAGAGAAGAGTGATGCCATCGCAAAAGGACGGTTGGACTCTAGACCTCTTCCGCTGTCATTTCTTCGTCTAACCACATATAACTGTTTTATCCTTTACATATTTCAACTATTTTAACGTCAAGCTACAAAGGACAAAAAGACGTAAGGCTTCATAATAATTTTTCTTCATTTGTAGATATGGAAGGTCCATAAACGCTGAAACGAATAGTGACTGTTTGCTTTATAGATTTTCTAGCTGTAGGACCTCTAAAGTTTCAAAGCAGTTTCGATTCGAATGAGAGTGCTAAAGAAGTTACGTCTAGTACAGTTTTCATCCATCATTCGTAACGATGAGATATTCAGATATTTATGAACGTTATGAAACAAGTTCTGGTCGCTATTCCAAAAACTGACTTTTCTTAACTTCGACATGACTAATCAATAGGTATTCTTTCGTTGATAGGCCAATGTGAGACTGATAAAAAGGTTCATTCGGTTTACATACCGACGCCTTTGTTTTCCTCAGAGCTGATGAAACAAATAGATGTTCCGCAGGCTTTCGTAATCTTGATGTGATGCATTCTTTGTCGTATCGAGTCGTATCTTCCTTCAATGGATGAGGTAACCTCAGTAGGCGATGCATTTTTATACTTGACGAACTGACTTGGTACGACGACAAAGACACCGCATCAAGAGTACAAATTACTGTGGACCATCGACTCGTACCATCAGTTCTAAGGTAGACGAAAACGTCGAAACGATAGCCGAATAGACATTTTTATGAACTTCGAGTTAGCTCATCGCTGAACGAATCAATATTGATCACTACTCTTTCTTATTTTTTCTATCCAAATAAAAGTGGACCCATACTGAAATAATTAGTTGTCAGAACTCTAGTAATTAGACAGGATACGAAAGAAGCAGGATTTGCTTAGTATTAGAATAACTTTGGCACTCACTAATGTAAGCAGAGCCGTTCACAGTCGGATTTCTTTTCAAAGCGGTTCGCATTTCCACCACAACCGCGGTAAAAGTAAAGTTTGCACCGACGATCTTTGGGCGAGTAGAAGTAGTGTAGATTTGTTCGTGGTGGCTGCTCGTCTTCGCGACAAGTGCGGCCTAAAATTTGTGTACTTCACCAAATACTTTCACTGATATTTTTTTGCGAAACCCAAGTAGCCCAGCAAAGAGTTGTTCCACTATATTAGACATACGGCACTCACCTTCTGAAGGCTTGATCTGACACACGGATTTATCGTCAACTGTTTTAAGCATCGTCGTCTCCTCAACTGCTGGTGGTTCCGTAGCCGTCTCTATTATATCTACGTCGTTCGATTCAACAATAGGAACGCTGGTTTCCTCTAAAAAAAATGAAAGCTGCAATAAATGAACTGAAATACCGAAGCGTCCGTTTTTTTAAATTTTGGTGTGCCATAGAACACAAGAATGCGGCTTTGCATAGATTTGACTATCATCTCAGGCCCGACCTTCTGTTTACATCGGCACTGACCAATAATTTAGTGCTTCCTTGATGAGCATACGCGAGGTATTTATTACATTGGTTATTCGCAATAACTAAGGGTTCGGCGATTTCGCCGAAGCTTATGTATTATGTTTTATTTTTTAAGGTTATGCGAGTGTTTGGCTGAACAGATTGCATTTTAACTTGACCTTACGAAGCTCTGAAAAAAGCGAAACTGCCCAAATATGAATAAAAAAATATGAATATGAAAAATATGAAAAAAAAACAATGTCAGCTATTGTGAATAAACAGCCTAATAATAGCCTTTTGCCTGCTGATGAAAAAGTAAATTTTTGACTGTCACATTCATTTATAATTTTCACAGGTCAGTATTAGACCTGTAAAAGTTTTTCTTCTCAAATAGCACAAATATTGTTCCTGATTGATTGATTTTATCCTAGTCATTGAATTTAAACGCAAAGGATCTTCGTCTTCTGGCATAGACATTCTTATCAAGAATGTACCGCATTCTTGGAAAATTGAAAGTTCAGTTAAGAGTAAATGAATAGCGAAATAGCTTTCTCACGAAAAACCTACTCAGCACATTGCGTGCAGTCGACAACAATAAAAAATCCGAGTGGAGCAAAAATAATGGAATTCGCAGTGATGATGTTTAACATCGAGTACAGTTCCAGTCTTAATGACCGGTCGGAGGAAATACCAGAAATCACAACCCCATAGTTCATTTTTATTAAATATTACTATATTTTTTACAATGTTCTGCTTCCGCAACACTTCTAAGAATTTCTATTGATTTCAATTCGCGTTAAGTTTCAAGTTTTAATCTGGTGCTTTTTTTAATTAATAAGTGTTGTAATATCAGACTCTTGGGTACAAGTAGACAGAATTTCTGAAACAAAGTCTTCATTCTCACCATTTATTTGCGGAACATCTTCCGGCTTTATCATGAGATGTGCCATTCCTCCATTTTCCTCCATATCATCTCCTTCCATATTATCAAATTCACTCAAGTTCTCGATTGTCTCCGTGGTAGTTTGCACTCCTTCAAAAAGCGTTCCAAAGCAAAGTATCTCATTAGTTACCATTTGTGAACATTGTGATTATAACAACGGCCTCAGCTTAACTGGATTCGTTGCCGATTTGGGCCCCTCAGATCGATCCCGCTGACGGGTGAATGCTGTGGGAAAAATCGATAGAGCTAGCTGAGAGACAGGCGAAACGACGGACCCGCATGGTGTGGTGGTGAACGCCTTACTCCCCGCAAAGGACAATAGCGCGTTCGTTCCCCACCGCATACACCTACGGTCCGGAGTTTTGCAAATGTCTCAGCATCATTGAAGCTATCTCATTAGTGTGCATTATTTGATAATACACTAACAATAGTAGTAAAAGCATGGAAAAGTATGAGACACACGTGAAAACCAGCACAGATTACACAAAAAGATCCTTAGGTCTCCACCATTTTTGCCGATGCAGTAGGCCGATGCAAAATGTAAAAATGTTTCACTGAGAGTTGGCATGAGTTGGCAATTAAGTACGACATATGGAAAAGAAATAATGAGATTCAGATAATGATATCCTTTCGATGTCCACTTTATAGCTCTCCAAGCCCACCATTCTAAATACTAATGCCATTGTCATAGAAACAATTCACAGAATTCTCAATGTCATCAAGTGTGGAGCATAGACTAATCATCAGCTAAGTTCAAATCAAATGATTCACCGAAATACATTCAACACTCTGCTGGCATCCATTCCTAAGAAGTGAATCCATTCATCAAGTTTCAGCTCAAAAGTTGAGGTGAAGCGATGGAATCCTACTATTTGGCGATAGATGATGAGCGTAATCGATTATAAAGAGTTGGAAAGAAGTACGACCTCATGGTTCTTCTACCGAAAACCACTTATGTTATATCAAGAATATGCAGGCTAAACTTAAAACTTCTTCCTAGAAGAGGGTCTTAATTTATTATCAGGCTGGCAGCCATACTATGCTCTTAGAAGTTGCTTCATTTTTCTGTCCAGTGGTAAGACTAGGGGCTCGAGTGTAAGTAAAGCCGCACATTGAACTAGCATTGCGTTGGAATACAAAGGATTCTAATGAGTGTAGGAAGCAAAAGTAGAATTTTCATAAATTCATAAATCACAGGAAAGAGTTTGATGTTTTCATCTAATTTCAGCGAGAACTGTTCTTATTGCATCTGCTTCATCTATCGCAAAGGAAATAACCAAGCTACGTAGAATAAAGCGTATTTCTCGACTATCAACGGCAGTCCATTCCAAGGATTTTCTTGAAAGCGTTATAAACTTGTTTTTAAAGTTTTGCTTGGATAGAACTGTTTTATTTCACCATTTAAAATTAGTAACTAACAGTAGCAATACGCTTTATAGAACACTCACTAGTTGAAAGCCCAAGCTCATTTGAAGGCAATGAGCCGCGCATGGAAGCGTGTTCCGGGTTCAATGAATTTCTCCCTATATAGGGAGAGATCATGTATTCCTTGGATAGTCGCTCAGATCCGTACAGGAGACAGCACATTCGAGCTAAACAATGATTGACACAGAACTATGTCCTATCAGCACTATATGGTACATTCCAGCCGAGTGATTAAAATAACATGAAGATGCACTACTAAATTTTACGATGATTGGATTTTACTTAAAAAAGCTTGAAAGAGGTTACCAATTAGTTATGGCGTCGAACTGTTTTCCAACGTTTAAAAACACTTTTATCTCATTTAGATGGTATTGCTAAAGAAATTGATGACATCTACTGAGTTTTACGTAATTAGATTGTGGGAGCATACATCCGTTTAGTCAACGACTAAATAAGAACATTACCACATTTGCAGCAGCACGAATCAAGTATGGCTCATGCGTTGAGGCACTCTGGCCGGCATGAGTCATACACCACACTTCCGCGTTCGAAAATATTACAATTGGACCTTCCAAGTTTGAACAAACATATCTCAGTTCATAGTGGTTTTTCTTAATTTACGAGTATTAGAGTATAAAAAACTTTGCGCTAACCTAAAGAAAGAGAAGAGGTTTTTCCCTTTCTATGATGATAAAATCCCAATTATTCTCTAGCTTAAAAGATGTACTTTCATTTCTCGTCCTCAACACTTATATCTCTAACAAAAGCGAAAATTTTAAAAAGAAAATATTGCTTCTGATTTCTGAAAATGTGTGGTACAAACAACCTAAAATTAAAATAGCATCTTGGAGAATCTATTTATACCATTACGACGACACTGCAGAAGTAGACGCTGTTTCATTTGAATGTTAAATGTACAAGTTCTCTTGTATATCACTCATTGAAAAAAAATCGCCATCAATTTATCTTCGTCTACTTATCTATTTACTTATTTATTTTTTTATTTGTATGCACTTACATTGCTTCTCAACGTCGATAGCGCAATAAAATCCTTTGGGACAGAGTTTCACTCCGTCGAATCCAGCCCCGCACGGGATCGGTTCGCCAGTTGAACTTAAGATAGGGTCTGAACCATCTGGACACATGTGCTTGGGTGTTGAAAGAAGTGCCTTTCGAGAAGCTAAAATAAACACAGCGATAGAATAACAACCACAACGATGTTGAGACATTAGCAAAACTTGGACTCCAAGCCAGATCGAAGCACGTTTCCCTTTCCGGGGGTTCGCGCCTTGCACCCTGCTCCACGGAAGCCTTTGCTCTGCGTTTCTCTTAGCCAGTTTTCGAAAATGCGCGAGCCCTCGGAAAGGGAAATCGTGATTCGATCTGGCTCGGGGTCCAAGTTTTGTGAATATCTCAGCATCGTTGTGGTTGATTTCGTGTTATACCATGCTGTGAAAATTGCAGTAGGCTGCAAATAAAAAATAAACATGCTGAGATAACAACACTCTATGACTTTAAAGATAGATACTAATTTGGAAAATGAAGTCGAAATAGAACGCTATGTGCTCTCCATATATCTCAAAATGGTATTTTGCCACAATTCTACTTGATACAGCGAGCGCATCAAGTCTTCGGACCTGAAGCTTCTCGACCAGAAATATTGATCGTCCTATGCCCAACAGCATTGGCAATGATGCATTTTTAATGTGATTTTGTTAGAAAAATGGTAGAGAACGACTAGAAAGAAAGGAAATATAGCCTTACCTCGAAGAACATCAGCTTGCTTAGATGCAAATCGAATAGATTTGTTTTCATCTACAACAAATAGAATAAGAGATCTATCTAATAACTATATAAACTGTGTTGAAACTACAATGAACCTTCTTTTTCGATCTTCCCACTAGGACAACAAACATCAGGAGGACCAGCAAGACAGTAGTATCCGACAGGGCATGCGATGGAATCCGTTGAGTTACCGCATAACACTGGTGTTAATCCACCTAACGGATTGTTGCCATCTGGACAATGACCACGAAGGATCGGTGAAGGCGAAAAGGAAGAGCGATGATCCGGTCGTAGTCCTATTAGAAAAAAGTACGTTAAAGTTCCTTTTATTCCAAATTTACACATTGTCGGTAACATTAGCAAATTTAGGCAAGTGATTTGGCGAGGGCTTCTGTTTTCGAAGACTGTTACTTGTGATTCCACTTATTTGATACAATTGAACTTTATTCTCTGTTAGAATATTTGAATGAAGACTACGAACGAATAGAAAGGCTCACGCTGTCCCTGTCCGCCAAGCACGCAAAGCTTCTGGCAGTCAACTAGGCTACCAAAGTTGTTATTATTGCCTTTACATCCACTGTAGTAGAACAGTCGGCAGGTATCCGTGTCACGGTCGTAGTAATATCTGGAAATGATCAAACACTCTAGTCATAGCACTTTCTTTAGAATTTCATATGATGCTAAATGTGAAAAACGAAAGAGCAACGTCAAGAAAATCTGGGTGAGGCTGTGGGAATTCGATTAACAAGTAAACGGTGAAGGGACACTCCCAGCGACGCAGTACTCCATTTTTCATTCGAAGTGAGAAACGAAAACCAGGGAAAACCTTTTTTTATCCATTCTCGTGGCCAAATTTCAGTGTTGACTACAAAATTATTCTTTTAGGAAAGTAATTAAGACCTTTCTCACTGATCATGATGCAAGCTTTCCAATTCTAACACATTTGACGACCGTCAGATAATAATTTTCCAAGAAGAAGAGTCCATATCACCTTCGCAAAACTCTCCCCGTTTAAGGCACACGGTCATATAAGATACTGCTTCATTTCAAGTTTTTCGAAGACGAATGGGAAGGATACTCGCAAGTGATTATGAATAAACTGAGCTATGCACACGGATCTTTTTCCTTATCAGTTGAAACATTGAAGACGGATATCAGACAGTTTGGAAGATCGGTAAATTAGCAAATATGTTCTAATGCCAGCAGTGAAGTCTGGTACCAATATATCTAGCTTGTGTATAGCAGAAAATATGGTATGATTGTGAGAAACTCGTATCCACATTCCAGTTACTATGAAGCACTAAAAATGCACCTTAGATGAGCGGAGCTGCAGTCCCCTTGCATTAATGGTTCGATACAGATAGGATTGCCATGGTGAGGAGGAGAAGGCCTTGGTCGCATACGCTCAGCCCGCGACACCTGATGAGGCTTTTTGTCTGAAACCTAGTAAAATTAAGCTATAAACCAATAAGGAATGTAGAACTCACCAATGGGGAACAATTTAGCAAAAGCACCAAAGTACATCAAAATTTATCGTTTGTGAAAATAACCCGAAGATGCTTAACTACAAATTTTTTAAAGAACGTTCACAAAACACTTTACAAGAGAATCTTAAACATAAACAATTCTAGTAATTCAAACAGACAGACAGTTTAGACAAGACTGGGCTTAATAGGTCGTTCTCGGCCGTTCGGTCAATGGATCGCAGGATTACACCGTGCAGTATATATATATATATATATATATATATACATATATATATATATATACATATATATATATATATATGCAGCACATAATTTTTTGAAATTTTAATAAGGATAAAGAATTACTTCTTTACCAGCGTGCTATCACATCTCAGTGTGAACATAACAAATAGCCAGGCTTTGACATTCTTTGGATAAGATAAGAATAAAATCTTGGTCAAAAAGCTGCCTTGTGCTTAAAACTGGTTTCAATGACGATTTGGGCTGCGCAGATCAATCTCGTTGAGGAGTGATTGCTCATGGCATTCATTGATCGATAGAAAACTACCTAAAAGACGGGCGAAACGGACGAGCCGTATGGTGTGGTGGTCAATTAACACCTTAGCACTCGGAAAGGGTAATAGCGCGTTCGTTCTCCACCCCAGACACCTGCGGTCTGGAGTTTTGCAAAGAGCTCAGCATTATTGTTGCTGCTTTGTGTTTATTTTGCATTGATTTATTCACTACGAACCAAAATTTGGTAACCGAGTTCTGCGCAAACTTTTTACACAAACAGATTATTGCTTTAGTCATTATTCGGTGAGGTTCCGCTATTTCTCAAGCAGAAATGTTACTCGTGAAGTTCTCTGTCTTATTTATCTACGATATCCTCCACAAACAAGAAGCATTTATACGAGCAAACCAAAACATGGACCAAGCTAAAATAACGTAGCGGTCGTCCTTTTTGCACAGTAAGACTCAGAATTATTCTAAACTGATAAAAATTAGAAGTTCTTAACTGCTCATAATTTTCGGCCGTGATATAATGATTTCAACTCGCCGTCGAATCGAAGAGGAGCGATGATGGACTCCATGTTGAACGAGTCTGGTGCCGCGTTCAGGATAGAGTTCGCGGCTCGTCGTCGATGCCTGCTCAGAGTCGCCATTCTGCGCACTCGGATCGGAACCTCATCCATGAGACGGCGGATGTTGAGTGGACCGAACACTTTGTAGCCGTGTTTTATCTCCTCACCATCATAACCTAAAAATTCTTAATTTACTTCTGGAATAGAATTTATTAAAACATTCTCAACTGAGTAGTCAACTAAGAAAAAAAGAAAGCCGTGTTAAGCAAACAGACAAGAATGTGTAGTAATCAGATGGTTTAATTGTGTATTTCGCGATGTGTACAAATCAAAAGAAGAAACTTTCTAGAATGTTTACGCCTAACCATATGTGGAACCTCAAAGAGAAATGTCTTCAAGAAACAAAATAAAAGAAGAAATGGTCAAAATGAGCGCTTTTCGAAAAGTATAAATGAGAGATAGGCTTAGTCCTTAGAAATAGTAGCTTAGCCCACATCTTGAAAAATAAAGAGACAAAGTATTCGGCATTGATCTGTCCTTAAGGTATGTGTCATCTGTTAGACTCCACTAGATATCGTAGAGGTGAATGAACGCGTATATAGCATATATATCCAGTGAATTACGGGAAGTTATCACTGTATAAATTCAGTGCCTCTAACTCTCTGGAAGGGTTCATGTGGCGCAGTGGTTGGAGGCGCCACTGCAACACGCGTGAAATCGATTCCTGCGCTCATGGCCCACCAAGCCTTCCATCCCTCCGGGATCGGCAAACTGGTACCAGACTTATCTGAGAGGATAGCAGCACTGGCTTCGATACAGCGGCAGGCCACTGCGAGTCATTGTAAAGGCCAGATATGCATTCAGTCACCTCCAACGATACTTAATGAAGTCGAATGCATGGCGCATCCCTCAGAAATTGATCAACGCCGAAAGCTTTGCCCTTTATTCTTTACCTTTCCGGAGAAATCTAATAACGATATCAATTCCGAAGGAATAGAGGGCCTAGTTTGTCCACAGTGTATAATCGAACCACCAAAAGTTCGCTTTGTAATGCATCTCTAACAACCGCGCTATGCGCGCTGTATTTTATTATTGGACAGAAGTCAATGTGAATAAACCGAAAATACGTACACATGTGGATAAAAGCAGGCACACCAAGCCAATGACAGTAAGGTGAAACCAAAAACATAGAAAGATTTTCTAACTTTTATATATTAGATTTATTGTATAAAATAAAGCATTTCAGAAAGATTACCTTTCAACTCTAAAATTTTTCAATTTCAAATCACCTGCACCTCAAAACAACTCTGTTTAAAAAACGTCGAAAATTGCCGTACAATTAAAGACTTTACAAAATCCTGTTGCGCTAACTACTGATGACAAGCCACATAAGTAGTCTTCTTCGTAAACTCACCCCCGAACACGTGTNAAATACGTACACATGTGGATAAAAGCAGGCACACCAAGCCAATGACAGTAAGGTGAAACCAAAAACATAGAAAGATTTTCTAACTTTTATATATTAGATTTATTGTATAAAATAAAGCATTTCAGAAAGATTACCTTTCAACTCTAAAATTTTTCAATTTCAAATCACCTGCACCTCAGAACAACTCTGTTTAAAAAACGTCGAAAATTGTCGTCCAATTAAAGACTTTACAAAATCCTGTTGCGCTAACTACTGATGACAAGCCACATAAGTAGTCTTCTTCGTAAACTCACCCCCGAACACGTGTTTGTCATACGGATCTTCCTCGTTGGGACAACAGAAATAGTCCACACCATTGAAGTAACACACAGATTTTTCTGGACACTGAAGAAGGTGGAAAATGAGTAGCCAGCGAAAAATAACTTCTCTTATTAAGCCAAAAATGAATCACTGAACAGAAGCAATGATAGAATGACAGAGATCTGCTGTTCACATCGACATTGTTCATCTATTCTTTGCAAAACTGCACCTGGTTCTTTCCAGGCAGACACATCACCGGTCGTCCATCGGCATACCGTATTTCCCGTAGTCTATTCGGGCACGAATGCAAGAGGTGTCGTCGTTCTCCTTCATTTTCGGAAAGATCTATAAATTTTAAACGCTGTAAAACTAAGGGGGTATTTTTGGCCCTTATTCTTAACCGTTAACCTTAGTGTCGTGATTGGTTTTTAGTACCAACATCTAAGAATAAGTATAGTAACAGTTCTATATTCCATAAAAGCTCAAAACTTCCGTATCAAATTCATAACGTACTTTTTAACTTCTTCTTTTACGAGGAAAGAATTCTACTTTCCCTTTGATTTTGGTTTCTTGCTGGGTATGGACTGTGACCTCACTTCTAAGTGGGCATTAACAAAAAGGAAAAAACAAATCCATCCAAAATGATTTATAAACCAAATTTCCCGCTAAAGTGCAGTGTACCGTTGTTAGTCTGTCAAGAAAAGGAAAAGTAGATCTATGGAAGATCTCTCACCTGAATCTTCTTCGTCGATCCGTCCAAAACTTTCCTGGAATGTGCGAATGCCACTTGCTCGGTTTTTGATCTAAGATGGAGAAATGGATTATTTTTATCACAACTGAAAATGATAAACCACAAATTTCCTTCCATAAATCACCACTCTCCATAATACGTGGTGAAGTTTATAACACTTCTAGCACCTACAGTCCGACGCCTAAATACTTGTGACTACTGAGTACCGCATGTAATACTTCACGGCTAATTTGAAGCCGCACGCCCTATGAATAGATATGAACCCAAAGTGATTGATTTTCCCACACCCTCAGTAAATGGCTAAATGTCTACTACTGAAATTACCGAATGACTGCTGATAGGAAAAGGAAAGAAACATTGGGCAAGCATAAAGATTGTTGGAAATTATATGATCATTACTGAAAGTCTAAATCACCTCTCCCGTTTGGTAGTTCACGGACATCGGAGGGCTGGCTCCAACAATTGGAAATCCTTCGTTGACAGTGGGATCTGGTTTTGCCGGAATCGGATCAGCCTAAGCAAAAAAAGCTCTCAGTTCTTAACCTTCGCCGTCGTAAAGACCCTCAAACAAGTCCCTTTACACCCGAAAAACTGTAAGTACTTTTCTAATAGTTACTGAGGTCAAAATCACCTTGTAAATCTTCTTCGTCTCTGGTTCCTTTGTACTGATGAAAGAACTGAAAAAGTCGGCATGTATTTTCCAAAATCCAGGTTGTTTATTAAAATGTTTTGAATAGTAAGGAAAGCAAAGTCAACTATGTGTGGTTACAATTAGTCTAGCGCTTTACGTTTTAGTTCCAGATTGTGTGAAGACTTTATTTTTTCAAAAGTCGCATTTTTTTATGAGTAATTCAAGCCATGGAGAATGATTACCATCAAGTTGAGGATCTTTTCTATCTATTAAAACAAATTACAATTGTACTTTCCATGATTTACTCTACTCTATACTTCTTCGACACTAATAAAGGTTTGTCTATGTTCGATGTGCGGCGTAACACATCACACACCTCTACTTTTGCGATAAAGGATAAAAGATAAACCTCTCGGTGTTGATCAATCCCTAAGGGTGCGCCATGTATTCTACTTCATTAAGCATCATTGGAGGTGACTGAATGCATATCTGGCCTTTACAATAACTCGCGGTGGCCTACCTATCTATCGAGCCACTGCTGCTATCCTCTGAGACAAGTCTGGTATTAATTCGGCAACCACCGAGGAATGGAAGGCTTGGTGGGCCATGGGCGCTGGGATGAATTCCACGTGTGTGTTGCAGGGCGCTTCCGACCACTGCGCCACACTTTTGCTATACGAGTTGCATAAAATGATGGTTCCAGAGTTAAAGTTGATGCAAAAACAATGTCTAATTTCTCCTAAAGATGGTTTCAAATGCATTTTGCAATAAATATTTTTTTGCCAGATTGCTGCTGTTTTATTCATAAGTACATCATAGCATAAACCAGACATTTGAAAGAACATGTTTTGCATAATTTAATGAAATATATTTTTTTCTACAAATTAGTTCGAAGGGATTTTAGACTGATTCAAGTGATGCATTCAGAGTACGAAAATAGCACTGTTTTCCTCATGGTTCGAAATTGGACATAAAATAACGGTAGCAAATCGAAACCACGAGCCAAAGAAGGGCTTATGAACATTGTGCGCCAATGTTTCTTAAAGCTTTGTATTGGAAATACGAGTTATCATGAAAAGGAATATCGACAGCGGTTATCTAGAATTCATGACAACCGTTAGAAACCGACAATCGGTGCTGTTCCTTTAAAAACTACTTCAAAGGCTGTTGAGAAACTCAACGTTCGTGATAAACGAATCAGTCGCCATTTTTAAGGTAATAGAAAGGTCTAACAGCTGGCCAATGGTGTCGTATGGATTGGACACACAGCTGCAAGATCGTCAACACGGAGATCGTTCTGCTTTTGCTTCTATTAAACCACAAAAAGGAGACATTTCACGAAATAGCGTAACATAAGAGGTTCATTTCATAATGTCAAAGAGCGATGGTGAATTCAGTAATTAAGCCGACATAAGGCTCATAAGCATTTTCCATAACCAAATTCACTTCAAAGGGGCGTAGTAGAAAGAGCAGTCAGAGATCAAACCGGATGAAAGAAGTGTTGTGATTTTCAAAATATGTCAAGTCGTTTCATGAAAATGAAATAAATTTCCATTAAAAGATGATTCTGATAAATTTCCGTTTTCGGATGATGGAATGACGCACTACAATTCTTCGGTCCTAGCGAAAAGACCACATAAAAGCAACAAAGACATGAGACTAATAAAATCTTAAAAAACTGCAGCTTACTTAACTGGAAATGGCTGAGGGAAAAGTCATATGTGTTTATATTGTTGAGTTTAGTTATATTTTTTCGCACAAATACGCTCGACCACGCCTTCAATAAATAGCGCTCCCAAAATTGAACGATTTGAATGTAAAACCCAGAACTTCTGTTAGGTTTTGAAAATGTCCAAGAGCCTCGGTTGGTGTGGTGGATACGGCGCCAGCCCCTCGTAAAGGTAATCATGGGTCCGAAGTACAAATGCGACTGCACTTTTGCTCGTATCTCACTATCGCTGTGGTTGTATTTCAGATTATTCGTAGATCCTAACAGTTCTTTGCTTTGATTGTTTTCGAGCCTATTTATGTCTTAAGATTCACAGTCTGGAACGTACTTGTTTTTGCTCAAAGCAAGCAATTTTTTAAACGAAGACAGACTTTCTTTTATCGAAGACTTAATAGTTTCCATAACGAACAGTAAGTAGTTCTTTGGCGTACATAAAAAATTATATACTCACATTTTGCGTATTTCTTCGTTCTCGACAACAGTCTTAGCGGCTTGAGCAGCTGGTGGAGACGGCTCATGGCCAGGTGGTTGAGCATCAACTGGTGCTGGTGGGGCTGGTACAGGCTCGAGAGTTATACGACTGTCGATCGAATTACTGAAAGCCGGCGGTATAGGCTCGAGAGTTATACGACTGTCGATCGAATTACTGAGAGCCGGGACTGACGCAGTGACCTTCACCGAAGTGGTGCCAGACATCTGAAAAGAAAAGAAACAAAATAATATGAAGTCAATTCCCCAATATAACTTGAACTACGCGCTATCCTGGACGTTGTAGAGATTTCTTCTTGCATTCTCTACTGACATCAGAAAAGCTGACACAGAAAAGAAAATGAGAAACGAGGGTCAGTTGGAGAAGGATGCTGATGAATAAAGACTTTTGATATTGTAGTTCGGCCCATGAAGCACCCTTTGCGTTGTATTTGATTATTTATTCTTAAATCATGCAAATATTTGTACGAGCAACTGCAGTACAATAACCCAGTAAACACTTTTACATACTTGTTCCGTGGTTTGTTTCTCACCTCAATCCAACCACAATCGCTATAACTCGGAGCAAATTAAATGGTAAAAAGTTGTACATGCAGAATCAAGCTATTTCGCCGTGGTTCATGAAGGTTAACATGAAGAACTAATTGCTTGACTCATTGGCGAACGGATTCATTAGCCTCAACGCATAGACGTGCGAAGTCAATTGCACCTCTTAAATTTGAACGGACATCTTTTAGCTCACAGTAGACCCTTTTAATTAAAATAAAAACTACTGGAATCCAAAAATTTTGCCCTGATATCGCAAGCATTTTTACTATACTGTAACGGGATTATTTCCTTTCCATCCCATCAAAAGCCGACCCTTGTATTACCTCGGCACAAATAATTAATGTCCCCTTGGATTGTCGACATCACACAAGATTAGTGTAAAATAATTTTTCGAAAAAGAGTCTGATGTCTATGTCTTCTACAGAACTTGGATAATTCGCGTCGATGATTCAGAGGTGGCTGAACTCTCCATGTGGGGTCTTCTTCGTCGTATAAAGTCGAATCTATTGAAGTAGAGCACCGGTCAAACGAAGATTCTCATTCGACGGTGCCTTTTTGTACTCTGGACTCCACTCGGTGCGACAATGAACAACCAGGTCGCAGGATGACCACTAACATCGACTCGCATCAATGCGGCTCTCTAGAAGACGAAGACGGCGAAACGTTACCTGCATAATCTTAACCCTTTTATTTACTGCCTTTTTCTTTTTAATGGCAGGGTATGTTGCGAAATATAACTCGTATATAATGCTGAGATATTTGCAAAAATCCGGACCGCAGGTGTATGCGGTGGGGAACGAACCCGCGCTTTTGTCCTTACCGGGGAGCAGCGCACTTCACCACCACACCATCCGGGTCCTTCGTTTTGCCTGTCTCTCAGCTAGGGTTAAGATTGTGATTATAACTATGCCTCAGCTTAACTGGGTTCAATGCTGATTTTGGCTCCCGGGATCAATCTCGTTGAAGGGTGATTGCTGATGGCAAAAAGATCGATAGAACTAGCTGAGAGACAGGCAAAGCGAAGGACCCGGATGGTGTGGTGGTGAAGTGCGCT